TTAAGGGTGAGTTTGTTGGCAGTTAGCCAAAGATGGACTTTCTCTAGCTCAGTATTTACTGTGGCATTTAGAGCAAGAGGGTCAGGACTGGAGTAAATGAAGGTTGTGTCGTCAACAAATAGAATTGGTTTGAGGTGTTGGGAGGCATTTGGAAGGTCATTAATGTAGATGAGAAAGAGGAGAGGGCCAAGTATGCTGCCCTGAGGAACACCGATGTTGATGGGTAGGGTGGGAGAAATTGTATTATTCACAGAAACATACTGGAGCCTGTCAGTAAGATATGATTTGAGGTATTGCAGGGAGTGTCCTCTGACTCCATAATGATGTAATTTAAGAAGGTTTTGGTGGTTGACAGTGTCAAAAGCCTTACGCAGGTATATTGTTTATCTTATATTGTTTCTGCTGTATTGTGCCTACCAATTTGTTGTCAACTACAATTCAAGCTGTCATTGCAATCAATCTTAGACTATGTGCTTTAATATGTGCTTTAATATTCAAACTATGTGCTTTAATATACTGTACCTACAGTTTTCTCTCATCTTCTTTTTTTTCATTTCATGTAATCTGTTATCATTTTTTTGTCTATAAATTTTGCAAGTATTTACCTCCTTAAAATTTTCTTAGATTAAGGACCTGCCCGAAACGCTGCGCGTGCTAGTGGCTTTGCAAGACTGTAATTACCATATTTGTATCCTCACATTCCTTATGTACATTCTTGTATATGCATAAATAAAATAAAAATAAATAAAAAAGAGGCATCAGGCTGTGGTGGTGACTGGAGCAGAATGATGCTGTGGGGCAGGAACACCGGCTTCCGGGCTCTGCCTTAAAAGAACCAATCAGAGAGAGGCACACAACTGCCTACCTCTCTCAACCAGAGACGGTGTAGCACCACTGGGCGGTGTGAAGTCGCCCCAGTGGCCCTGGGGCGACTTCAAAATGGCGGCTGTAGCCCTGGGCACTCAGCTGGTGGAGTGGCGGTTGGCTCACGCTCACACCACGCTGTTCCAGGCCTCTCAAGATTCCCGTGCAAATCTTGAGTCCTCGCTCCAAGCCATACAATGAAATGATGCTATTGCTATATCTTTGTCCACAGACGTTCTACCCCGGCCAGGGTAGAACAAAGAAAACACTGAAACTCAGTGTTTTCTTTGCAATATCATTGTAATAGGGATCTCTCGCTATCCTAATTGCAAGCTTAGCATTCAATCCCTTAATCCTGCTTAAGGATAACTCTAACTTAAGGATAATCCTAACTTAAGGATAAGGGGAGGGATAACTCCTCTAACTCCTCTCCTAGATTAGACGATTTGGCAGTTCTTGGAACTCCAAGAATGATTGTCATGGCTTCATTCTGTATGATTTCGAGCCTTTTCATCTCGCTTTGGAAGTAGGTGCACAAAACTGGTGCGGCATAGTCTATGACTATGTTACTTGGGGGTTACCTGACAGCTGGGTGGACAGCGCTTCAGATTCGTAGTCCTGAGGTTCCGGGTTCGATCCCCGGTGAAGGCGGAGACAAATGGGCAAAATGTTTTTTTCACCCTGATGTCCCTGTTACCTAGCAGTAAATAGGTACCTGGTATTTAGACAGCTGCTACGAGCTGCTTCCTGGGGGGTGGAGGCCTGGTCGAGGACCGGGCCGCGGGGACACTAAGTCCCGAAATCATCTCAAGATAACCTCAAGCTGACGGAGCGCACATAGGCTGTACACATCATTTTAAGGATGGCAATAGAGGCTCTATGTCAATTCCAGGTCATAGCTTTCAGTGCTCTGAGTCGACTTTTGCATGTTCCTATGAGTTGGTTGAGCTCCTCTTTCTTCCTCTTGTGAGATCCGACAATGACGCCAAGGTACCTGTAGTGGTCAATCCATTGAAGTGTTACACCATTAATTTGCAGTTCTTCATTTGCCCCCCCCCCCATCCTCGCTTGTGAAGTGAGTATGCCTTCGTCTTGTTTGTGGAGTGAAACCGAGCTCAATACATTTCAACCCAAAGAGTTCAATGGACTGTTTAGTTTTTCCCAAGGTAAGAGCTTGTATTAGGACATCATCTGCATATCCCACTTGTTGTGTTCCTTCCAGAAAATCAATATTTACAATGACATTCATAAGTACATTGAATAGTGCAGAGCTTAAGACTCCGTCGTGGGGGGTCCCGAGTTCCATATTCATTCTTCTTGAGTTTGTTTTTCTCCCTGTGAGGTAGTCTTCAACCCATTTCATGAGTCTTCCCTTGACACCCATGCATGCAAGCTCGTCCAGGATCGCAATCCCCTGCGCTTTGTCGAAGGCTCCTTTGATGTCAACAAATACAGAGTACCTAGCCGTGTCATTAGTCAATTAATTAACTATACAGTTTGCTGTGCTCCGTCCTTTAACAAATCCATTGACCCCCCTCACCTAACCTGCCTATTTTGTGCAACAGTCTGTTTAGGATGATCCTTTCAAGCATCTTGCAAGTGCATGACACAAGACTGATAGGTCTGTAATTGCCAGGGTTATTGGGCTTCGGTATGGGAACAATTATTGCGTGTTTCCATTGTGTGGGCAACACACTACTTAAGAATGACTTGTTAAACAGGTGGAGTAGGGGATTTCCAGACACTTCACACAGTGCATTGAGTATGTCGTAGGTGACGTCATCTTCACCAGGTGCAGTACTTTTACTCTTTTTCATAGGCACATGGAAAATAGGAAAATAGGCCCATTTTCATGGGTTTCTCATCTTCATTTCATTGTTTTCCTTTTGGACCTGGACAAACTTGTTTGCTGCCTCCTTACACTTCTGCGTTATGTAGTCCATCATATCTTGGGTCCTGAACTCTGTTTCCCATGTTATATCTGTTAGAAATTTTCTTATCTCCTCATAGTTTCCCTTTCGGAATGCCAACCTATTGTTTTCAGTACCCCTCCTCGAGTTCAATTACCCTTCATCAACCAGGTACTCAAACGTCAGTACACTGTGGTCGCTCATTCCATTGGGGCCTCAAAACCGATTTCTCTTATGTAGGAGTCATTCAGAGTGAAGACTAGGCCGAGTCTCGCTGGTTCATCGTTTCCTCTCATCCTAGTGGGTTCCCTGACATGTTGGCTTAGAAAGTTTCTAGTCACCACCTCCAATAGTTAGGCTCTCCACGTATCCTCGCCTCCATGCGGTTCCTTGTTCTCCCAGTCTGTACTCAGCTATTTGTGCTCACCTATTTGTGTCTGCAGGATCGAGCTTTGACTTTTGGATCCCGCCTTTCGAGCATCGGCTGTTTACAGCAATGACTCCGGTCCTATTTCTCTATCATACCTAGTTTTAAAATTATGAGTAGAATTTGCTTCCACAACCTGTTCTTTAAGTGCATTCTATTTTCCCACTACTCTCACGCTAGAAGAAAACTTCCTAACATCTCTGTGACTCATCTGAGTTTCCAGTTTCCACAAAGCCCCCTCGTTCTGTTACTATTCCGTGTGAACATTTCGTCTATGTCCACTCTGTCAATCCCCCTGAGTATTTTATATGTTCCTATCGTGTCCCCCCCCCCTCTCCCTTCTTTTTTCTAGTGTCGTAAGGCACAGTTCCTTCAGGCACTCCTCATACCTCATCCCTCGTAACGCTGGGACGAGTCTCGTTGCAAATCTCTGAACCTTTTCCAGTTTCCTTATATGCTTCTTCAGATGGGGACTCCATGATGAGTCGGCATACTCTAAGACTGGCCTCACGTAGGCAGTGTAAATCGCCCTAAATGCCTCCTTACTTAGGTTTCTGAATGATGTTTTAACTTTTGCCAGTGTAGAGTACGCTGGTGTCGTTATCCTATTTATATGTGCTTCAGGAGATAGATTAGGTGTTACGTCCACGCCCAGGTCTCTTCTCGCGTCGTCACAGGTAGGCAGTTCCCCTTCATTGTGTACTGTCCCTTTGGTCTTCTATCACCCAGTTCCATTTCCATAACTTTACATTTGCTTGTGTTGAACTCCAGTAGCCATTTCTCTGACCATCTCTTGCAACCTGTTCAGGTCCTCTTGGAGGATTCTGCAATCCTCATCTGTCACAACTCTTGTCATCAACTTTGCATCATCCACGAACATCGACATGTAGGACTCTACTTCTGTAAACATGTCGTTAACATATATTATTAGAAACAGAATTGGTCCCAGCACCGATCCTTGTGGTACTCCACTCGTTATTGTTCGCCAGTCCGACTTCTCACCCCTTACCGTAACTCTTTGGCTTCTTCCTGTTAGGTAGTTCCTTACCCATGCTAGGGCTTTTCCTCCCGACCCCCGCCTGCCTCTCGAGCTTGAACAGAAGTCTCATGTGCGGTACTGTATCAAAGGGTTTTTGCCAGTCCAGAAATATGCAGTCTGCCCAACCTTCCCTGTCATGACTTATCCTCGTTATTTTATCATAGAATTCCAAAAGGTTTGTTAGGCACGATTTCCCTTTCCAGAACCTATGCTAATGTTTGTTCACAAACCTAACGTTCTCCAGGTGTGCAACAACAGGTGTGATTTATCTGTTTAATAAATTAATAAAAAATTATATAAATGTGTATACTTTTCCCCAATTATAAATCTTTTAAATATGTCATGTCTAGCTTCCTTATGGTGAGTAAGCAGAGTGCGGGCGGGTGGGTGAACGTGGGTGGGCGGGCTTGTGGGTGAACATGGGTGGGCGGGCTTGTGGGTGAACGTGGGTGGGCGGGCTTGTGGGTGAACGTGGGTGGGCGGGCTTGTGGGTGCGTGTGCGTTACCCTGAGTGTTTGTCAGGTCGCTCTCTCGTGTAGGATGGTACTGGGGTGTCTGCAAATTGATTACACCACTCTCTGGTTACCCCATGAAATGGATACCCAATTATCGCTGTGGTGAATGACGGGCGGCCCGGTGGATGTGTACTTTAAGATTGTGATAGTCCAGATGACTTTAACACGAGGAGCACCAGGCTTGTGAGCGAGGCGGGGCTGCCCGGGGCGGAGCGGGGCACCAGGGGCGAGGTGTAGTCAGTTGACAGGGCCAGGGGAATCCATTAGGAACCGTGCGACCGTTGCGTGTGGGTGCGGGAGGAGAGGAGAAAGTGAAAAGTGGTCTGTCATTAGCTGTTCCTTCATCCTGTCTTAAGTCAAAAGAGAGACGGACAGGGAGGACGGCCACGTTTGGTGAGAGAGAAATACTACAACTTTAGTGCTGGTGTTAGACGTACAGATTCTGAAGGTAAGTTAATGTACATTTGTTCTGTCTGTTTACTATACTACTACTACTACTACTACTACTACTACTACTACTACTACTACTATCTTTAGTCATTTACTATTACCCCTATCTATCTATCTTTTTCCTCTATTTCAGTACTATATGCTATCCACTCTTCTTATTTACTCTCTTCTTATATTCTAATTTAATCTTTCTTTCCACCTTCATATTTTCCTTCCTTTTTACAATATTTACCCCCCCCCTCCTCCTTGCACAATCATACCCATGTACTCTATCTTATCTCACTTCTTCAAAAAAGGAACTTCCTACGCATCGTACACTTCCATTTTTTTTTCTCTAAATGATCCTTTTGATATTTTCTATGCACGAACTATTTTTTATACTTGGACGAATAATTTTGGTATATTTTTCTGCATCTTTTTATTTCGCTCATATATCACATTTGAAACATTACAATATTTCACTCTATCATTCTTTTGCAATCTTGTAACATTTTTGCCGCATCTTCCTACCTCTTGCAACATTCATCATCTTGATTCTTCTTGCTACATTCATCTTCATCAACGTTTCTAATCCTTACAATGCTGCACGCAATGATGCAGCACAATGGAGGGGACTCTCATAGCCCCCTTTTATCCTACTGATGACTCTGGTCCATGCACGAGAGACACTGACCTGGGTGCCAGGGGATGATGCCTCTGACGTCACACTATGATTGAAGCTCATAACTACTTTATTGCCAAAATAAATTATTGCAACTAGAATTCAGAAGCGTTTTCGTTGATGCTGCAATTTTTAAAATCATCTTCGTATTTATACACTGGAATATTTTTATCCCTTGCAACAACCTAATTAAAACTAAAAATATTTAAGGCATATCTTTGCAAATTTAAAGCTGACTGCAACCACTGTGTGACCTTATGTAGGCATATGGTCAACGTGCCATCATAGTCCAATCTGACACACACACACACATAGGGGCCTGGTAGCCTGGTGGATAGCGCACAGGACTCGTAATTCTGTGGCGCGAGTTCGATTCCCGCACAAGGAAGAAACAAATGGGCAAAGTTTCTTTCACTCTGAATGCCCCTGTTACCTAGCAGTAAATAGGTATGTGGGAGTTAGTCAGCTGTCACGGGCTGCTTCCTGGGGTGTGTGTGTGTGTGTGGTGTGGAAAAAAAGTAATTAGTAAACAGTTGATTGACAATTGAGAGGCGGGCCGAAAGAGCAAAGTTCAACCCCTGCAAACACAACTAGGCATATACAACTAGGTGAATACACACACACACACACACACACAGACACATACACACACACACACACATGACCTAGACAGACTGAGTGAATGGTCCAACAAATGGCTGTTGAAGTTCAACCCAAGCAAATGCAAAATTATGAAACTAGGCAGTGGAAACAGGAGGCCAGACACAGAATTCAGAATAGGAGATGAAGTACTTAATGAAACGGACAGAGAGAAAGATCTAGGAGTTGATATCACACCAAACCTGTCTCCTGAAGCCCACATTAAAAGAATAACGTCTGCGGCATACGTGAGGCTGGCTAACATCAGAACAACGTTCAGGAACCTGTGTAAGGAATCATTCAGAATTTTGTACACCACATATGTAAGACCAATCCTGGAGTATGCGGCCCCAGCATGGAGCCCGTACCTTGTCAAGCACAAGACGAAGCTGGAAAAAGTCCAAAGGATAAACAACAGTAAACAGTAAACAAGGATAAACTATTCAACACTGGTGGATACACGAACAAGGGGACACAGGTGGAAACTGAGTACCCACATGAGCCACAGGGACGTTAGAAGGAACTTTTTCAGTGTCAGAGTAGTTAACAGATGGAATGCATTAGGCAGTGATGTGGTCGAGGCTGACTCCATACACAGTTTCAAATGTAGATATGATTGAGCCCAGTAGGCTGAGGAATCTGTACACCAGTTGATTGACAGTTGGGAGGCGGGACCAAAGAGCCAGAGCTCAACCCCCGCAAGCACAAATAGGTGAGTACAAATAGGTGAGTACACACACACAGTGTCAGAGTAGCAGACAAATGGAATGCATTAGGAAGTGATGTAGTGAAGGCTGACTACATACACAGATTCAAGTGTAGATATGATAGAGCCCATTAGGCTCAGGAACCTGTACATTAATTGTCTGACAGTTGAGAGGCGGGACCAAAGAGCCAGAGCTCAACCCTCGCAAGCACAATTAAGTAAGTACAATTAGGTAAGTACACAGACTGGGATAACAAGGAACCGCATGGAGGCGAGGATACGTGGAGAGCCAAACTATTGGAGGTGGTGACTAGAAACTTTTTAAGCCAACATGTCAGGGAACCCACAAGGATGAGAGGAAATGATGAACCAGCGAGACTCGACCTGGTCCTCATTCTGAATGATTCCGACATAAGAGAAATCGGTTTCGAGGCCCCAGTAGGAATGAGCGACCACAGTGTACTGACGTTTGAGTACCTGGTTGAAGAGGGGTAATGAACTCGAGGAGGGATACTGAAAACAAAAGGCTGGCATTCCGAAAGTGAAACTATGAGGAGATAAGAAAATTCCTAACAGATATAAAATGGAAAACAGAGCTCAGGGGTAAGACGGCAAAAGACATGATGGAATACATCACGTAGAAGTGTAAGGAGGCAGCAAACAAGTTTGTCCCGGTCCAAAAGGAAAACAATGAAGATAAAGATGAAAAACCCATGGTTTAATCAGAGATGTAGGCTAGCTAATCAGCAAAGTAAAAGGGCGTGGAGAAATTATAGAAATAACAGGGCACTTGAGAGCAGAGAAAGATACCAGAATGCCAGGAATGAATGTGTCAGGAAGAGAAGAGAGGCAGAAGGGCAATACGAAAATGACATCGCAAGCAAGGCAAAGACTCAATCTAAATTGCTGCACAGCCACATCACGAGAAAAACAACAGTAAAGGAACAGGTAATGAAATTAAGGATAGTGGCAGACGGATTCACTACAAACGACAAGGAAGTGTGCGAGGAACTGAATAAGAAATTCCAGGTCTTCACTTTAGAGCAAGGAGAAGCTCCAGAGATAAGAGAGGGAGTTATTAACCATGAACCACTAGAAGAGTTTTAGATTATCAGTGGGGAAGTAAGGAAGCTTTTACTAGAGTTGGATGTGACAAAAGCCTTAGGCCCAGATAGAATCTTCCCTTGGATACTTAAGGAAGGAGCAGAATCACTGTGCCTGCCACTCTCCATAGTGTATAACGAATCACTGGCAACAGGGGAACTGCCTAGAATTTGGAAAGCGGCTAATGTAGTCCCGATATACAAGAAGGGTGATAGACAGGAGGCACTGAACTACAAGCCAGTGTACCTAACCTGCATACCATGCAAGCTGATGAAGAAGATTGTGCGAAAAAAGTTAGTGGAACATCTGGAGCGAAAGAACTTTGTAACACAGCATCAACATCGGTACAGGGATGGCAAGTCCGGCCTCACAGGATTAATTGAATTCTACGACCAGGCAACAAAAATCAGGTAAGAAAGAGAGGGGTGGGCAGACAGCATATTTTTGGATTGCCAGAAAGCCTTGACACAGTACCACACAAGAGGCTAGTGAAAAAGCTGGAGATGCAGGCAGGAGTGAAAGGGAAGGTACTCCATTGGATAAGGGAGTACCTAAGCAACAGAAGACAGCAAGTCACTGTAAGGGGTGAGGTCTCCGATTGGCGAGACGTCACAAGTTGAGTCCCGCAGAAGTCAGTCTTTGGACCAATATTGTTTCTGATATATGTAAACGATCTCCTAGAGGGTATAGAATCCTTCCTCTTACTGTTTGCTGATGATGCAAAAATTATGAGGAGGATTAAAACAGAGGATGATAGTTGGAGGCTACAAGATGACCTAGACAGACTGAATGAATTTCCAACAAATGGCTGCTAAAGTTCAACCCAAGTAAATTTATTTATGTATTTATTTATTATTTACTAGCTGTACCCGCCACGCGTTGCTGTGGCTCAGTCTGGTTAAATGGAAAAGAAAGAAAAGAGAAAGAGCACGTTTCTAATATGTTAATTTCACAATGCTTGTGGGTATACAATACTTTTTGTTGTTCCATTGTCTGGGGAGATATTGAGATTGCCTGGTTTTCTGACTCTAGAACACGCAACATATTACTGTCCATGTGAGAAGCAATCCGTGTCTAGATATAAACTGTACAATTCTAAAGATTGGCCCTGAGCTTTGTTGATGATGATTGCAAACGCCAATCGAATTGGAAATTACAATCTCTTAAATTGAAATGGTATATCTGATGGAATCATAGGAATGCGAGGAATGAGGACATCTTCACCTTTGAAAGGTCCTGTCAAGATTGTTGCTTCTACGACGTTGCTGATTATTTTTTTACTGCAAGCCACGTGATATTGCAAAGTTTTGGTTGGTTGATATTTCACAACATGATAATTTGCACGCCGATTTTCAATTGCAGTATGTGCGGTGGTATCCCTGGCAGATCGAGTGAATTAAAAAATTCGGTTTGGATAATTAACCGCTTCATCTGTTTCCACAACAATGTCGACGGACTTGTATGTGACTTCCTCGCTTTGAATGTAAGACTGAATATTATTGCTAAGTTCGTAGACGTCTTTGTTCTTAGTCGCAAGAATAGTTCGTTCACTCAGCTAGTCGTGATATTTATAATTGGTCTGAATATTGGGAAATACTTTTTCAACCAATTCCTCTTTTGACGTCACTAAATTGCCGAAGTTATGACGCTGAGGTCAGATCAACCGACACGTTTCCGTTCCCAATTTCCAGAAATTGATGTGAGAATATCTCAGCTGATGGATCGTTTTGCAGATGGACACTCAAATTTGTAGTTAATTTTAACGTCTTTACGTGACGCCACAAAGTACAGTATTTCAGTCTAGCATTTATTTCGTCCGCTGGTGTCGATCGAGGAATTACGGGTAATGTTTGCCTGAAATCTCCTGCAAGCAATATTAATGCATTCC